TTTTTGGGTTTTTATTTTAAAACAAGCAAAGATTTTTTCAGAAAAACTTCAATTTTTTGAAATACCAAGACAAAAATCCTTATATTATTTTCTTTATATTCAATTAAAATTTAAATTTAAAATTTTATTCATATAAAATAGACGAAATATTTTGGTTTCATATAAAACCTGTAATTTAATGAAATAAATAATGAGGAATTTAAAATTTTTATGGATAATATGGAAGGGGGGAATTTCTTTTAAATAAAAAAAAAAACATATATATTAAAAATTTATAAATATTTATTCTATATAATATATATATATATATATAAAATATTTATTTTTTTTTTTAAATGCGTTAAAGAAACACAAAAAAAAAAAAATATATGAATATTTGTTTTAAAAAATTCGTTTAAAATATAAAAATTTTAGTAAATTGGTGATATAATTTTTTTTTTTTTGGCCATTTAGATTTAAAAAAATGCATTTTTAATGACATTTTGAAAATTCCCCAAAAATAAAATTCTGACATATAATTAAATTTATTATTTTTTTCAATAACTGCTTTTTTCACGCAAACGAAAATAAAAGAACCCAATTAATGATATTTTCTTTTCTAAAAATTATTGTTTCAGATTTGCATATATAATAGTGATATCTTTTTAATTATAGATTATTTTACAATATTATTTAAAAAAAAAAATTATAATTTTAAAATAAATAAATATGAAAAAAAAAAATGAATTCGACTACATTTTATGTGGAGAAAATTAACAAATCAAAAAAACATTTATATAGTAATGATGCAAAATTCTCCCAACTATGTTTTTGAAAAAAAAAAGTTTCAAAATTTCGTTTTCACATTTATACAAATAAATAGCAAAATTATATGATTTTTTAAAATATAATATAATATCATAAAAATAAGCATGGCTTGAAAAATCAATATTTTACAATTATGATAACTTTTTTTTCTGTGAAAAGATTTTTTTTTGAAACAGTCTATTTTATTTATATAATATTTTTAAATATATATATATATATATATATATATATATATATATATATTTAAAAAAATCAGAAAATAGGATTCAAATTGTGGTGTTTAATCTCTTACTAAAACGATGAAAATTTCATTTTTAGATTTTTTTTTTACAGAAAATCCAAAAAAAAATAGAAAATTGAAAAAAAATTCGAAATCAGATAACACACACACACATAGAACACACACAAATGATTCCAAATATATATAATTTTGTTTTCATATTTAAAATTGAAATAATTATATATATATATATATATATATTATATATATATATATATATATAAAACATATATACACACACAATAAACACACATATATATAAATATGTATTTATATATAAATATATATATATATTACAAAAAATAATCTTATAAAATAAATATAAAAAATATTTTTTTTTCCTATTTTGTTAATCATACTTGAAAAGAATCAAGGCTGATGGTAAGCAACTGGTCTTTAATAAAATAACAGATGATTCTCTTTGCCACAGTTAGATGTGGTTAGATCGAAAAATAAATATATATCCAGTAATAGGATCGAATTAAAAATATATTTTGTAAATAAAATAGGGAACAATTGAAAAAAAAAAAAAATTTTTCAAAAAATTTTTAAAATTTAAAATCATAAATTTTGTATATAAAAAAGTATAAAAATTTAAATTATCGCAATTAAATTTATGCATTTAAATAGAAACCTAATTATATATACTGTTAATAATATATAAATATCTTTTTCTTAAATCATATTATAGGATATTTTCATTTATATAACTAAAAAAAATATCTTCTGAAAAGATAATGAAATATTTAAATATTTTAACTTTTAATTGGTTGATATTTTGATTTAAATAATAAGGCCGGTATCGAAAATTCTATTGATAAAATGGAACTTATTTTGCTGAAGAAATTTTTTTGAAATTTTTAAGAAAATGTATTCATTAAAAATATTTGTTCGCGTTATCTATCCATATATATTAATTTTATATTTATATATAGATATATTTATATGTTTATGTTCTTTATAAATTTTATAAAATATCATAATATTATATATATAATATAAATATAAAATAAAATATAAATAGACAAAAAGAAATAAAAAAAAGACAAATTTTTGAAATTGAAAGAGGATGAAAATATTTAATTTTTTGTCCTTTCAAATTTTTTCATTTATAGGAATATATATATATATATATATGTTAAATATAAATATATTGATACGTTTAATATAATTTTAAGCCATTATAAATGATGAATTTTATTTTGAAATATTTTTTCTTTGCGTTTGTGTTTGTTTTTTAATATTCACTTCATTAAAAATTTTTTAGAAATCGAATATATAAAGTACATTCGTCCTTGTTCGTATTTTTTAAAATTGCAAAATTATTTTTTCTTTTTTTATTATTAAATATTCCATTATTTTTTTTTTTTTCAAATGGATAAGTTAAATAAATGTTACGTAATTTATGTTTTCGAATATTTTCTATGAAAATTTTTTTTTATTCAGGTTTTAAATGAGTTTAATATAATAATAAATTTGTATTTAAACAAATACTTGTAAAATAAAAAAAAAATTTTTTAAAACATCTATTTATTCGATAATATTATATATATATATATATATATATATATATATATATATATATATATATATATATATATATATTTAGTTTATGAAAAACTAGGTAATCCGTATGGGTAAACCTAAGGAGGATAAAATCCAGAGAGCTCAATGTAAATCCAGAGCAAATAATTTAAATAAAAACAGACCACTTTAAGGTTCCATGTAATAAATTATTTCACGACAGCCCTTTTAAAAGGACTGTGGATCATCAGACTTTACTTCCAAACAAAAATGAAAAGAAAATTTACACATTTTGACGAAAAATGTATTAAATATATGTAAATTAACGAAGTGAGGAAGTGAAATGGAAAAATAGAATATATATATATATATATAATAGAGAATTAATCATTCATACAAAAAAAGGCGGTATCAAAAATGCTATTAAATGAAAAACCTTTTCTTCGCGGACAAATTTATTAATATAAATTTTAAACCAAGAATGTCTCGATAAATCAAAAGTTTGATCCCATTTTTTTTAATAAATTCAAATTTATTTTTCGAAAATATAAACTTGTTCATACTGTTTCATGGAAATTATTTTGTTTTTAGTACATCCAATAACGGAACACGGAAAATAGATGTGAAACGAAATATGATTTTTAGAATTTTGGGGGGAGCGTGCGGTCGCAACGCTAAGTTTGAATTTTTTGAAAATTTAAGATAAAACTACTAAACAAAAGAATTCTCCAATTACCATATTAGTAAAAAACGCACTATCTTAAATTTTCGAAAAATTCAACCTTAGCGCACGCTCCAAAAAAATTGTTATCCGTTAATAATAACACAATTCTAAAAAAAAAACATATTAATTTCCATGCCTGATGATGTCTGTATGAACAGATGAAAGTACGCGCAGAAAAAGACCTTATACCACCGGAATTTATTAAAAAAAACAGGGATCATACCATTCATCGATGAATCTTAAATTGGTTTAATCAAATATTTATAAATTTGTCCATGTGAAGATGTTTTTCGTCATTTATAGCATTAACTTTATCAATCTGCTTTTTGTATGAATGATTATAAATATAAATTGAATTGCACCAATATTGATATATATATATATATATATATATATATATATATATATATATATATATCAATAATTTATTTCCTTTTGAGAACAATTTTCATAGACCCAATGAGGATGATAATCAGAGAGCTCATATAAATATTATATTTAAATATTGGTTTAAAAATTTCTAATATATATTTTTGTATTTAGCATTTTTTTGCATTAAAATAAAAATCTTATTTAAATTTTAAACATTGCTTGAAAAAATTGAAATGAAAAATTAAAAAAAAACTTTGACAAGAAAAGCTGTGAAATGAAAATGAATTTTCATTTCGTCTAAAATTTCAACTGTAAAAATTTTGATGATCCAGAGCCCTGTTAAAATTTAATTTTAAAAATATGGCAATACATAAAATGATTTAAAGTGGAACATATTTTTATTAAAATATATATATATATATTTGTGTATTTAGGTAGCACTATCTCTTTAGTCCAAGTTGAATGAATTAATAGATTACAGACATTATGTTTGCTTAATTTTTAACAAAATCCGTTCATACTCACGAATAACATTCACGCTTTAATGCGCGCATGACCATGGCATTATAAAAGGAAAAAAAATTCCATAATGGATAATTTTTTCACGTTCTAATGAACGCTCAGCACATTGTCAATCGTTTTGCATTTAAAAGCACAATGAAAAAATTATGGTAATGGATAACAGAGCACAACTTTCTATAAATACTTAGACTAATGTACAACATATAGTATTGTACTAATTGCACCCCCGACGATGATCTGGGAAGAAGATCGAAAGTACTTGGGAAATTAAAATAAATGATATTTAAACAGCTATAGTACATTTCTCTCGTTCTTTAACATATATACACGGAAGGTTATTCGTAAGTATGAACGGATTTAGTTAATACTTAGCAGACAATTTTTGTAATTTATTCAATCAGACATGCCCAAAAGATATATATATATATATATATATATATATATATATATATATATATATAATGTGTAAATGTGTAAAAAAATGATTAAAAGCGCTCAATATCAGTGAACCAAGCTAAATATTTAGTTGGATTGGTGTGAGTTTGTGAACCTGGGTTTCATGCTATTTGCGATCGTCAGACAAATTTGTTGAACAGGCTGAGAAAGTTAGGAAAATGAATAGTTATTTTAATACGCCTTCGAATCTATGTGCCCCATTTTTTTTACCTCTGTTGTACTTGCCTGTCTTTCACGTCCCCGATATGTATTACACCATGGACTGTCCCTATGTGTATCGTCTCAACAGGTAGCTATAAACAACTCGAGCTAGACTGGAAGCGATGAACATTCTTAAAAGACAAAGAAAGAAAGAAAGAAAGAAAGAAAGAAAGAAAGAAAGAAAGATACATATTAAACAGACAGAAATCGAAAAGAAGGAGTTGATAGCTATTTTAATAAAACTTTCAATTTATGTTGTACTTGCCCGCCGTTCACGTTCCCGATGTGTAATAAACCACGGACTGCCCCTTTTGCACGCAACTATCCGGATAGTGTCAAAACAGAAGATGGAAAATGCGCTACATAAATTCAAAGTCATATTAAACTCACTATTTACATTATTCGGACTATTGTCCTCATCTTTGTCGCCATATTTATGAAGGCTCCGGCCTTCTTCTTTTCCACTTGGAATCTCGAACTGAACCCTTTATTTCGCTCACTGGTATTCAAAATTGCTCTAATTCCACTCGCCGTGTTTAATGGATGTCAGTTATCAGTTATCTCCTGTTAAAATGTCTTTTTTTTTATTTGCCTTAACCAGGTATTGAAGATTCAAAACGACTAATTTTGTCACTGGATAAAATTTAAGCCTTTATCCACTGTACAATGTGTCCTTAAAAGTGGTTAAGGCAATGGAGAACTTGCTTTAAATAATTAAAAAAGATAACTTGATGACATCCATTAAACTGTTTGTGGAACAAGAACAGTAAACCCCATTTCATGAGCGAAATAAAGGGTTTTTTTCGAAAGGTCATAAGTCCGCAAGAAGTCCGGTACAACGGCCGAAACGTCGTAATAAATATGAACAAATAAAAAAAGGACAATAGTCCCGAATAATTAAATAGTGATTTTAATCAAAATTTGAATTTACAAAAGCGTATTTTCCATCTTCTGTTTTAACACGACCTGGATAGTAGAATTTTAACGTTATTGCCTTCAATTTGAATTCTTCGATGTGTAATAGTTTTCATGAACTGTCTCTTTTTTCATTTTATATTCTTAATATATGTACCAGCTTAACGGCTTAGACTGATAGAGATGGATAATCCTGACAGAGAGAGGAGGGGAGAGATTATCATACTGAGAAGCGATAGAAAGATGGAGAATGAATAGATAGATACATCATCGAATTTATGTGCTGCACCATTCCACATTTGACGTCCCCGATGTGTAATACATCACAGACTGTCACCTTTTGCACGCAACTATATATATCCCCATAATACGTAGCAATAAACCGCTTGTGCTAGAATAGAAGTGATGAACAATCTTAAGAGAGACAGACAGACGGAGAATCTATTGATAGTTACACTAATACGCCTTCGAATTTCTGTGCCACAATTTCCATCTTTTAACCCTAGACTGCTCAGAAGTTTTGTATTTGCCAGCTTTTAGCGTCCCCGATGTGTAATACAATATAGGCTACCCCTTTTGCTCACAACTATGTATAACACCTTAATAGCTAACTGTTGTGGTAGGATCCACCTAATTTGCATAGTGGAGTACCGACCATATAAATATGGTTGGTACCGGGAAGACGAGGGGAGGAATCAAGAGATTCAATCCAGAGACTCTGCCCGACTGCGACTAAGTCAACACATTCTCCAGGAACGGTCTTCCCAAGAATATACAAAAGACTATATGTAAATATTGTGTACACTTTCTTGTTCCAATACATTTTGTTCTAAGTACATTTTGTGTTGTATTATTATTCCATGCATTAGTCAAGTTTCAACACTAACAATAAACAGTTTCGGCTAGACTGATAGAGAGGAACAATCTTGAGAGAGAGAGAGAGAGAGAGAGATTATGAGAGATTGTGTGAGAGAGAGAGAGAGAGAGATGAAAATGTTGAACAGAGATAGAAAGACGGAGAACATAGAGATAATTATTCTTATATATCTTCGATGTGCCGCACTTTTTGAATTTTTGTACTTGCCTACTTTTATATACAAAGGCTGTTCCAATAACTTGGACCAATTTTAAATGTGAATTAAGTTTAAGCGTCTAATGTTTTTTTTTCTTTCAGAATTGGCAGACATTTGGGCTTATTATAAAATTTATGTTATTAATTGCCTGACGTAAATAACATGATCCAATAGAGAAAAAAATAAATTTTTACCAATAAACAAATTTATTTATTTTTAATTTGATCCGTCTTAATGAAATGAAATATATATAACCTTTTTAATGAAACAATGGATTAAATATATATATATATATATATATATATATATTGTATATCTGTGTGTGTGTGTGTGTGAAAAAATCAAGTATATCCTTTGAAGGATAAATCAAGGAAAAACAACAAAAAAATTTTTTCATGTATTAATAAAAAAAATTTTTTTTAATAAAGAAAATTTTTAGGAAAAATAAATATAAAATTTATCAATAAAAATTTTATATATATATATATATATATATATATTTTTAGAATGAGAGAAAGAAAGAGAAAAAAGAAAAATTTTAATAAATTGTTTATTAAAGCTATAACCAAAAAAAAAAATTTTTCATTTGATTTTCAGATTGACAAATCAATCAAAAAAAAAATGCATTAATAATAGAAAATATATATATATAATATATATATATATATATATATATATAGAGAGATAGATATATAAGTATATAAAATATTTAAATCAATTCAAAAGACAGAAAAAAGAGAGATCCATTTTAAAGAATGATAAAAAAACATTAATTAAAGAAAAAATTTATATATATTATATTGAGCATATTCATAAACAAATAATATATATAATTTTTATAAAATTGCCTGCAAGACGTCGTATGAATTTTGAAAACAAAACAATCAAAAATAATAAATATTGTATAAATATATTATTTATATATATATATATATATATATATATATATAGATATATATAGAGAGAGAGGGAGAAAAATAAATTAAAAAGGATGGAAAAAAAGAGAAGAGATAATAGAGAGAAGAAAAAGAGAGAGAGATAATTTTTCCGTCTTCTGTTCCAGCATTTAACCAAATAATTTCAAAAATTTTTTTGTTTTCAAATCTTTTTTTGACGTCGTTTAAAACATATCAAAATTTTTTAATAATATATATATATATATATATATTTATATATATATATTTATATATATATATATACAATACAGAGAGATAAAATTCAAGGGAGAAAAAATCTTCCATTCAAGAGATAAAAATAAAAAAAACAGAAAGATAAATTTGGAGAGAGAAAGAGAGAAGAAAGAGAGAGAGAACTTTGTTTCTGTTCCAGCACTAACCAAATAATCGAATTTTTTGTACTTGCCTATTATTTGACGTCGTCGAATAAACATATAAAAAATTAAACAGATAAAGATAAGAAAATCCTGTTGTTTATATATATATATATATATATATATATATATATATATATATATATATATATATTTAAAGAGAAAAAAGAGAAAGGGGGAGATATAAAAATACTCTTTAAAGAGAAAAGAAATCAAAAAGCACAAGCACTTTTTTCTTTGTTCCAGCACTAACCAAATAATCGAATTTTTGTACTTGCCTGCATTTGACGTCGTCCCCGACATATCACTTGCTGCCCATTTTGTTCGCAATGACATGTCCCACCACAATATGTAGCCATAAACAGCTCGTTAAAGAGACCGCAATAAATGAACAATATAAAAAAAAGGGAATGAACAAAACTGAGATAGACAAAAAGGGATTGGTAAAATTTTAATACGCCTTCGAAGAAAAAATGTGACGCAATCTCCATCTTCTTTTCCTACATTAAATTAAAAGAGTTTTGACGTCCGAAAAAATTAATAAATTTTAAAAAAATAGAATAAATCAATAAATGTATACCAATTGAAAGCTATCTTTAAATAATAAAGATAAAAATTCCAGATTTGACATAGAGAAACAATCTTTTAGAGAAGAGAGAGAGAGAGAGAAGAGAGAGAGAGAGAAAAAAAGGAGGATGCTGAAAATTCTATTTAAAAGAAATAAACGGAAAGATATGTTATTCTCATACATCTTTCCATTTTCTGTTCTGACACTAACGAGATAGTTGAATTTTAATACTTGACGTTAATGAATAATAATATATCATAGGCTTCCCCAATTAAAAACATTATAAATTATGTGTAAATATTTTTAATTAATTTATTTGAAGCTTGGCATTAAGACCGATAGAGATAAACAAAATCTAAAGAGTAGAATAAGAGAGAGAAACTGAGAGAGATAACTCAAATATAAAAAAAACAATTTATAATGAGCGGATAGACGGGTCGAAATAGTGAAAACCAAAACGGGTTAGGATTTGACACTTTTAATGCAAAGGAAAAAAAACGTATCAATAAATGGGTGTACGGATTCGTAAGGGTAGATCTTCCAAAGGTTGAGTTTTGCGTCGAACGCGTCCGTGTTTCCAGGGAAACGGTGCGCGGGCGTCGCCTTACATAGACGTGTATCCGCTAATGGCCGTACTCCTGGAGATGACATAGACAATGACGACGATCAGCACGATCAGCGCCAGACAGGAAGCGACGACCAGAGAACTGGTAGTTCCCAAACTCGTTTTGGGGGTAGCCGATTTCTTCTTTTTCCTTCGTGTTTCTCCACAGACATTCCCTGTTAAAAAAAAAAAAAAAAAAAAAAACCGTAAAAACAGATGCTAGTGAGACAGGTCAAAAGGAAGATATCTGTTTTATAATCAATATAAAAAAACAATGTGACTTGATATATTCATCGGTCACGCAGCCTGGTATCCTCTATTTGGAAATAAGACATTCGGTTGTTATGGTAAGAGGAAGTATTACACAATGTTATAGACAAGCGTATGGTTGCAAGAAAGAAATACGACAACAGTAGAAATAGATTTACGTGGTTTATTTCAACAGGAACGTAAGGGTTTAGGACAGCTACCTTGGTGTGGTAAAAGTTCATAAGCCGGCTTTCGGGAAATTCGATCTTTCATAGTAGTTCACCCATGTTGATGGTAGTTTTGCTCTCCTGCTGACAGCTGCTGAACGTGACCGGTCTCAATTAAAGTGGCCACATGTTGACTGCCTGTTGAACTTCCGTGTGACCCTTTTTAAATATTTTTTTATGGCTTAACAGGCTCGAAAATGAAGCGAGTATAATTAGGAGGGAAGCATTTTTATTGGACGAAAAAATAGAGCACTTTAAATATTATTTTATTTTGAAACCGGAACATGTGTCGGAAAATTTGTAAAAAAAAATGATAATGGTCATTTTGTGACGGGGCTTTGTCCCGTTCACATCCGGTTCTCGCTCTTGAGTATTTGCCTGTAAATCAGCCGAGATATGTCTTATTTTATTTTATAACAACAACGTTAAAATAATCAAGAAATATCTTATGTTGTTATGACATGGGGTTATATTTTATAAGTTGAGAGAACGGGCTTATAAAGACATACTTTTGTATATATTTCTGAGAAAAATTAATATAAATTTTTTATATGAATTATTATTTATTTTTTTACTTCATCTTTTTATTTATATTATCATAAAAGTTTCGGCCGTAATACCACCTGAAAAAGGCCGGAGCGTGATAAATATACAACAAAGATAAGGACACAATCAAAAATAATTTAAAATTTTACATAAGCTTTTATTTTCACATTCATGGATATTTTTTAAAACTTTGAATGATTTAAAGAACATAATTCTTTCTTTAAAGCGACAATAATTTATATATAAAATTATAGAATACTATGGCAAAAAAAAACATAACCAATACAATTGCAAGGTTACTGAAATAAATAAATTTTTATGGCACGCATTGCGTAATAAATGTGCTGACTGAAACAAACTCAAAAGCGAATATTTATATTTTTTTTTTTTTTTTGCGTCATTTGACGATTTGAAAAAATTAGATAACGTTAAGATATCATTTTTAACAGACAGGAAAATATTTGACACACACAAATGGTCAAACACACATAACAATCTTATATATATATATATATATATATATATATATATATATATATATATATTTATGAATAAATAATTTTCGTGTGCACTTTAAAAAATTTATAACTTCATTTGTATTTGTGATAGAAATAATTTGTAAAAAGGATTAGAAAGAAGTAAATCTATATTTTTTAAGGTTTTATTGAAATTTCATTTAAGTTTCCACATGCCCTCCATCAT